GACGCCGTCCCCGAGGAGTGGGTCCTGCTGCACGTCATGCGGAGCCAGGTGGGCGCCGGGAACTACAGCTACCTGCGGCTGAGTCACGAGGGCAGGGTGGTGTTGCGCATGCGCAGCCTGAGCGGCGACGCGGACCTGTACGTGTCGGACGGCACGTTGCACCCCAGCTTCGACGACTACGCGCTTCAGTCCGCCACGTGCGGCCCCGACGAGGTCTCCATCCCCGCGCACTTCCGGCGCCCAGTGGGCATCGGTGTGTACGGGCACCCCTCACACCTTGAGAGCGAATTCGAGATACGAGTGTACTGGGACACCGCGGCAGCGCAAGACCCATTTACGGAGAGCGCCTACCCTGTCACCGGCGCCCAAGCGGGCCAGAGGCTCGCCCACGCCCCGGAAGACCCGCCACGGGAGGAGGAGTCAGTGCTGTGGACGGTGTTGATCAGCGTGTTGAAGTTGGTGCTGGAGATTCTTTTCTGAGCCCCTGTACCCCTTGGAGGGCAGTGCCCTCGGTCTGTGAAGCTGGCTGCGGTTGGCTGTGAACTTGGCTTTCACCTGGCTGAAAGCTCATCACCTTTCTAGTGGAGGGTGGGGAAAAAGCCATAAGCAGTTGTCTTACCTCAGTTACCCCCTCCCACAGGAGACGCAGCAAGCACAGAATTTGCTCTCAAAATTCCTATAAAAGGGACGTGCACGGCATACGTTTTGACTCCATTTTGATTAGTCTACCAGGTGACAAATTATTGCAGTAACGTTGGTTTATGTAAAAGAAACCAAAATACGGCAACCTTTCATGCAGTTAATACGGCCAAGCAGAGGTCGATAAATTTGTTACCAAAATCAAGTCAGAAATGTAATGATTTAATTACACTAAGATTGGACGAAAACCCTATGCCTAGACCTTAAGTAGAGATGGTACCTTCTATCCAAACAGGATTTCCCGGTAAGGAGGTATTTACAAACATGTGCCCATAATGACAATTCTTATTAGGCCATTTGTCATTTTAACCTTGGGCTACCTATGAATTAAAATTCTGCAGTTATTAAATATGCTGCCTACATTAAACAATGCAGATTAAGAAAAGCAATGCAAGCAGTAACTTTTCAGGCTAATGGAGGGATGGCTAAGTATTTCCAGTTAAGTTGCTAGATGTTTCCACTGAATTTTTGGAGAGAGCCAAAGCTACTAAGATGAAAGTCCTTTGGAAAATGAATTACTTATGTATCTGGAATTAGCTTCAAGGGCAAGAGTAGTTTACAACAAATAAATCAACTGCAGATTTTAAGTTAATTTCAAAAATCTTTTATTGGCATAAAAAGGAAAATGTAAATAAATTGGCACCAAATATTCCACTTAAATACATATAAGGTCATAAAGCTATTTTATCCCTCTTTGCTGTTTTTCCCCCTTCTGCCCACTTTCCTGGGTGTTGGGGGGGCTCGCTGACAACAATCACAAATCCAGCGACCTAGGAAGAAAATTGTTAGTTAATATAGAACGAAACACGTCCTTCCTTAACTATCACTAATGATACTCTTCTGTGGATTTGTGGTGGGAAGGGCACTAAGTTCCTTAATTTAAGGAGAAAAGTGTAAATTTCTTTTAAAATAATGTAATCAATGCCACGCAGAATTCAGTGCAAGTCAAGAGATGGACGTTTAAAAAATTATAATCCTTCTTGAAATTCAAACACTAATGTAAAACCTATTCCTGAATTTGGCTTTTTTAAGCCTTTTTTTTTTTTTTGCTGCTCACTGGTAGCTGTGTGTCTGACAGCATTCTCTCAAGTTTTGGTTTACTATCCTGACACAGCACTTTAAAACTTCAAAGTTTTTAACAGCACAGTGATAAACTGTACTACATACTTGATCTGAATTACTACAGATCCTTAAATACTTAAGTTGCTTGCTTCTTAATGATTACCAGGAAATTTGATTCTAGAGAGTACTATACAGTGTTAACTATGCAAATAAGTTCTAAAATTACACAATTATCTGTGTAATATTTTAACCCAATTACTGTGATTTATTCGATTCTGAGTTTATTCTAAAGTTATCTTGAATTGTCATCCCGCCCCAATTTATAGAAATTTGGTTTAATATGTATAAAGATGTAGCAGTCTTTGTTTTTTCTAAATAGATGATGTATAAAAATAAAATCAAGGCTTTGAAACAAGGTGATGCTGTTACCTTAGCCCTTTCAGTACAAAAACACCAATCCTGTACATTGAACGGTATGTCCAAAACTTGACCTAGGCATTGACAATCACCTGTCCTTTAGCCAGCTACCTATGATGTAAAACTGGTAAACACGACCTGGGTGTTCACAGCTCTGGTCATGTTTGCAGAGTCTGTAGGCTCTTCATGTCATTGAAGTGTTTATGCATCCTTAAAAAAAATGCCAGCAGAGTTTCATCACTCAAAGATAACGTTCTTTGTTTTTAACCTTTACCTGATGGGATAGCACCAAGGCCCACACAAAAAGTATGATAACCTCTGTCACACACATCACAGAACATCATTTCTTCTTCATGGTGGGGTTGTCCACATATAATGCACGTTTTACATTCCATACACTGCCATGGGTAGGTCTTAATCATAGAAACAAGCTCCATGGTCATATCCAGGCAAGAAGGATGGCCTAAATTAAAACCGTTATTAGCAGTAGTTCACACAAAAATATTTAACTTAATATGGCATATAAAATACTAGTTTACTTTAGGACTTCCCAAAAATGTCTATGTTTAACTGCCAAAGAGAAATAAAAATACAGTGTAGAAGAAAATACAGGGACTGTGTCTACACCTCACAATCTACCCTATAAATTGATGATTCTTTGGCCAAAGTCTACTTGAAACTAAATTCTAGTTCTTGACGCAACAAAGAAGGCAGTTAAAATTGTAAGAAGACACTTCGGTACTTACCACTATTCTCACATTGGGAGCAGTGTATAAGGGATTCAGCCTTTCCTTTCTTGTTGGACTCCTTACCCTTCAGACAAATTCCACATATAGCATTTGGAATGACCTTTGGCTGGAAGGGTAGAAGAGGGCTATAAATTCATGCCAGAAGAGCTTACTATGGGTTCAAAAGGAATTCTGTTACTTTATTGCCTTATCTTTATTTTTTGCTACTGAGCATCTTTTTGAAAGACAAAATTTGACAGGAGTCAGCTTACAAGGTAAAATGGTTTAGAAAGCCTCAGCCTTCATTTTAAAATTCTGTAAATAATGTGATCTCATATTAAGTGTGGCATTCTACACTACCTACATGCATAGTAAGACCTGTACAAAGAACTGGGAAAAAAAACTACACTGTCAAATGTCACCATGAATTGGAAGAGAAAATTGAAGTACCATAAAAAATTGAGGTACTATAAAAGAGAAGACAGTTCTAAGAAGCTTATATATTTTGAAAGAATATTTTCCAAAATTGCAAAACTAGATCTATAAAATCTAAGTTTAAAAAATCAGTTTTAACATTTTTAATTGAAAGCTGTCTCATACATACATTGTTATGTGCATAAATGTGTGCAGAAAACTGAATTGTGTACTAATTCTCTGCATATCTAATTTTAAAAAACCCTAAACTTAAGGAGAAAAACATTCGCTATGAAATGCAAACCTAAAAGGGAAAAACGAAAATAAGTTTTCAGAGAAGCAAAAAAAAAAAAACAATGCAGTCACTTAAAAAATACACTCTTGTATTTTGAATACTTCTCTCTTTCAAATTAAAAACATGCATGGTCCAGTGAAGGTGTCTGGGCTTTAAACATATTTGGCAACACACAGAAAGGAACAAAAGATAAAGAGTTTACTGTACCTAAAATTGCCAGGAAGGGAAGGCTTCTGAATGTCACAGACTTGATCATTATAAAATTATGCTCACTCATGCTACAGGAATAAGTGACAGTGGTTAAAAAAAAAAAAAAGCATGTGCCAAAAATGAATTTGGGGTAGGGGGCACGTGTGTGTGTGTATGTGTGTATGTGTGTGTGTGTGTGTACACACATGTACGGGAACTGGGAAAATAAGTAGAACTGTTGTTACATTTCTGTTTTATTCCAACCCAGCCAAATGTATCTTGTATTTCCCTTTCCTAAATTACTGAACCAAAGAGGAACCTAAATAAAACTGAAATTTCATATATAGTATTTCTGACTTTGAAATGTCTCACTGCCACCTTCATAACCTGTTAGGCCTAAACAATTTGTTCTTAATTCTGTTAAGATTTGTGCTTTTTAAATAATCTTTCTTTGCAAAAGATGACAGAGGCATTCAAAAAGAATTTTTGGCTTATTTATTTTAAAAAAGTCAACCTTATACATAAATATAATAAAAACAATAACTCTAAACAATCACAAATGTCTCTACAAATAATAAATATCATGGAAGTTAAACATACATATAAAACTTTACTGTTAACTATTCTACATCTCCTATATTTTTTACCCTGCTCCCCCCAACAAAAGGATAGTGTCACATGCTCAAACCTTTTAAGTCTTGCAGTGTAGTTACCCTCTGTTGTTCCTGCTACATTCTAAGCATAAGGTTCTCATTGTGTGTTCCTATGACTAAATTAAAAATAGCTAGGAAGTGCACTTCTACATTCCAAATTCTGGATCAGTTATGATAAAATCCGTAACTGTCATAATACACAGCAGAAAGCTACCTCTTTAGGTTATGGTACCTGTACTAAATTTAAAAGATATACTTAATACTTGAAGTTTAAGTTAGATACTGGTATAATAGGTACTCTAATATGTTTCACTAAACTCAAGGAAGTAACCACATAATATTAAATTCTATAAAAGAACTCCTCATAGGAGATCCTTTACAAAACAAAAGTAGTCAAAAGGAATAAAATACAAGGTTTGTCATTCACATTCTAGAGCAATTCAAGTTCTACAATCATTAAAATATACATTAAACACCTATAATAAAGGGCACCAAGAAAATTCTAGGTTTACTTCTAAGTTCAAATCATAATGTTTTTAAGTTACTTGTAATTTTTCTTACCCAACAGTCTTCATCTTGATGGGGGGGGGAGGGGTACAGCTCTGTAGCACTTTCTATGATGCTGCAGGTCAATATATAAAAATACTTTGTGCCTTCAAGCATTTGACCTTTCTAAGAAGTCACCATACTTGTACCCAGGACTTTACACAGTAAATAATGATTGTGGCTTGGGGAAGCTAGTCTCAGTGGATTGCAGAGTACAGGGAAGAAGAAAGGGAACAATGTAGAGAAATCCCTTGAAAATCAATGGAACAGGACCCTAGGTGTGTCTAGTTGAAACAGTAAGTTCAACTTCTAATAACTGCATCAGAGTTTCACTATTGACAAGAAAATTAAGATACTCATCCTAATAGCTCTCAGCATCTTAAATAAAAGGCTCACAGTACACATATTTTTCTACTTGAAAAACAACCGAAGGTAAGTGAGATTTTCATGGTATCATTAATATAGTATAGATTTTAATTATATGCTTATAGGCCTGAATCCTAACAATTATGCTTTAAATTTCAGGTTAATGTAACCTAAATAACACTGTCCTATAAATTAAGGGCAAACACTAGTGAATCTTATTAAGCAAGACATCAGATACAGTATTTTTCTTAACTCCCGTATTTTAAAACATACATATATATATATATATATATGTATATATATATATATATATATATATACCTTCAGAGCTTGAAGTACCCTAATATTTAGGCACAGCTTGGCTTATTAATACTTTTTCATAGAGAGGTTAACCTTTAATAAACATGTTCACATTAATACATTACATCTAGATACTGGTTATTCCCATCTTTGAAGTACCTGAAATATTTTAGGTACTAAAAATGTTCACAGAAGATTATAAAATGCATATTTTGCATATCAGATTCCCTTAAATAATATTAATTTAGTTAGGTTAATCTATATGCTTTCTTGTATACGAAGATAATGCTGATTAGTTCTTCATTTTCAGCCTGTATTAAAAAACATCTATTTCAATATCCTCTCTCTTTTTAACCCATGATCAGTCAGACTTTTTGAATGACCTACTTAGCACTAAAAAGTTAACAGGACAGTGTGCTTTCAGCGGACCACCCCACTTAAAGCTCTCAACAGACCAGTATCACACACTGATTTATGTAGGCTAAGTTTTTGAAATTTAATCTTTGGAGTTCATTTGCTTTCAGTTATTAAGCATTAATTTAAATCTTTAGTTTAAAGAAATTAGATAAGCTATGTATGTATGTAAAAAAACGTACAAAAATCACATGGCTGTAGCCTACTGAAGCCACCCTGGGAAGGCAACCTGTGGTGAATGAAGCTTAAAATTTGCTTTCCATAGGCTACAAAAACATGGATTTTTAAAAGTTACTTACATAAAGGCATTTTCTAAGAAAATATGAATGTATTAATTTGATAGGTTTTTCTTTTATAATTTGAGGAAAAGAAAGGTAAATGAACTGTTAGAAAAAGTGTTCCGGTGACTCACTTCAACCTGTTCTTGTGGTCTATTTACCACAATCACAGTTCTGACATGCATTTAAACAACTTCAATCAGCAAAACTTTCTCAGCATCTTACTCTAAAACTTTCCTTCAATATACCATCATAAGCACAATAAAAATCATATTCTACTACATTCCAGACCAAAAGAACCAAAATGTAGTATATTTTACTACCACCATCCAAAACATGAAACTGTGCAGCTAATTCTGTTCCTTATATGATATTCGTAAATCCCTATATGCAAATAAGGCTACTCACCTCTCACCTCACCTTTTCTTCAAAAGAAAAGAGAGGGGCAGACAGAGGGAGGAAATGTTCAAAACAACAATAGTTGCTGACAACTTTTCTCTGAGAATAATCAGATCAAAAAAGTTAACAAGTATGTTTTAATATTTGTCTTAAAATCATACAGGCTATTTACCAAGGTTATGCTAAAAACACCACAATGTAAATAACAGATTTTACTAGTTTCTATCCCAGAGTTAGCTAAATTTGGCAGATGGATCAAATAATCCTTAGATTAAATCCAGATCTTTCTTCATGAAAGGCACTACAGAAATGCAACTCAGTCTAACAATATATTCAGCCACATTTTGATAGCTCAGCAGGTTTACCTACACTAAGTGCTAAAAACTAAAAATGCCAGATAATTATGATCTCTACTC